AGGGTTAATGTTGGGTACCTTTCCTCAGTTGCTCTCTACAGTTTTTATTTTTTGAGTCAAGGTCTCTCACTGAACCTTGTCTAGGTAGCCGGGCAGGCTAGCCAGTGAGCTTCAGGAATCCACCAGGAGTTTGAGGTCTTTGTCGTTTGTTTTTCCTTAGTGATAAGCAGTGTCCTTGGACTTGTGCACTAATGACTGATTCATTATAGAGGAAAGCTGCTGATGCAGGGGGATGCTGTGGTGCCAGGTCTAGATAGGAGACTTGGTATTCGGGAAATCCTGCTCCCGTGGAATAGAGGCCAAGCCCAGGCTGCTTGTGCGGCTTGGGTCGTAGATTAACTGGGAAAGCCAAAGAATTTGTCTTGATTGTTCTATCTCAGGATGGGTGCATGTGGGAGTTTGAGTGTAATTGGCCCCCATAAGCTCATAGGAAGTGGCACCAGTAGGTGTGTCTTTGTTGGACTGGGTATGGCCTTGTTGGAGGAAGTGTGTCACTGTGGGGGTAGGCTTTGAGGTCTTATATATGCTCAAGCCATGCCCAGTGTCTCAGACCACTTTATATTGCCTGTGAGTCAAGATAAAGGACTCTCAGCTCCTTCTCTAGCACCATGTCTACCTGCATGCCACCATGTCTCACCATGATGATAATGGACTAAACCTCTGAAAATGTAAGCCACCCCAATTAAATGTTTTTCCTTTATAAGAGTTGCTGTGGTCATGGTGTCTCTTCACAGAAATAGAAACTCTAAGTAAGACAGCATGATAGGTGCTGGTCAGCCATGAGAAGAATGGGTTTTTCAATGGTTATCCAAGGACATCCTAGGAGCTCTCGCTACAGAAATGTCAGGGAATGGGATGGAGGCTGGGAAAGAATGACCAAGAGAACTGTTACTTGCCTCGATAAGCCTGTTCCACCTCCCAGAACCTGCATGGCACTCAGCAGTCCTACCCTTCCCTCCACTTTTCGACACAGATTCTTGCTGTATGGAACCCCACTCAACCCTGCCCCCTCAGCTTCCTGAGTGCTGGGATGACAGGTCTGTGTCACCATGCCAGGCACGACTCTCCTTCACTTGGCTTCTGACTTCTCCCACTCCAGCACCTCTGGCTCTGTCCCTCCTCATATCTGCCTACCTTACCCCCAAATGCTCACATTCCCAGGGTCATACCTACTAGGTCCCAGCTGCTGACAGTCCTGCACTGCAGACTGGTGTCATTCCCATCTCCCAGGAAGACCCTACAGTCCCTGGGTTGCTGACTTCCCTGTGCCTGGTGATTATAACCACGCTCTGACAACGTCCAAGGACAGGCCCCTGCTACTCTCAGTGGGAATGGGTATCACATGGCCTCTGCATTACCCTGGCAAGCCCCCTCTTGCTTTCTTTGTCTTTGATGTCTGCTAGGTAAAGCCTCCCTCTGCTACAGTGTCATCCTCCTGGCTATAGAGAGGAATAAGAACTTTTTCTTTTGAGTGTGACCAGCATTTACCTTAAAAGTGAGAGACATGACCAGTGGTTGCATGGACAAGGCAGAGGAGCCCTGTCTCCCACCTGGTCCCCACCCCCCTACTTCTGCAGCCCTGAGCCTGCTCAAAGCCATGACAGTGCTCAGCCTTTATCCTCGCTGAGCTGTAACCCTGGGAAATACATGAACACAGATTCGCGTGTCCCGCACTTCGGCATGAATCATTTGTGGTTGCCACATGTATTAGTCTATTGTGTAAGCATTCATTCTTCACCTACGTACTGGAATATTTCTTGCTGATGTGGTTCTCCTGATGTGAGGCGGGAACCTGCTGATCCAGCCCCAGGGGAGAAGTTGTAGCCATAGCACATGCTCTGTGACCCCAGGAGATGCTGCTGATACTGCCACAACATGGGTAGCACCCACAGCATAGTATTTCACATCCCCCCGAGACTCCTGTGACGTCAGCTATAATTTTGCCAGTCTGGTCGGTATTTCAAGTATCATGCTTTGGTGTTAATCTACATTTCCCTAATTTCTAATGAAGCCGAGGATGTATTCACAGTTGTTACCGTTTCAGTTTTTCTCTCTGTCAAAGGGCTGTTCAAAATTTTCATTCACGTCTCAGCGGAGTTTTCTCTCCCAAGTGAGTCGTCTGCTGCAAGTGTATGGTCACAGAATCTCCCCTTACTCTGACTTCTCTCGTGCTGTTTTGTGATTCTTTTGATGTGGAGGTTTACAGCTTCCATAGCTGTAACACAGCCTAAACATATTGTACTGGTTATGCTTCTTGTTGATGTGGCCACATAGGAGATGAAGGGGGTATTCTGACTAATGACAGGAGTTCGATCCGTCATAGATACAAAGACAAGTCAGCCAGAAAGGCTTACAGGTGTGGCGACAGGAATAAGAAGGATCAGCAAGCAGAGGAAAGGGATGGCAGCACCGGCTTTCTTCTTGTTCCCTTCGTTCGGTCCAGGACAGCAGCCCAGATACTGCCCACAGTCAAGGCAGTTCATCTCCCCTCCGTTAATCTCCTCTGGAAATGCCTTCACAGACACACCCCAAGTTATGCTCTCATTAATGCTTTAAGTGCTTTGTTTGTTTGTTTTGTTTTGTTTTGTTTTTTGTTGGTTTTTTTTTTTTCTCGAGATAGAGTCTCTCTGTGTAGCCCTGGTTGTCCTGACACTTGCTTTGTAGACCAGGCTGGCCTCGAACTCAGAGATCCTCTTACCTTTGCCTCCCAAGTGCTAGAATTAAAGGAATGCACCACCATGCCCAGCTCCTTAAGTGCTTCTTAGTTTAATGAAGTTAAAACCTGAAATTAGCTACCACAGTCTACATCAACTTGACCCCAAACACGTCACTTCAAATCGTAACACTGCATCCATGACCCTTGAAGTATCATGATCAGTTCGATATGGGTGTATCTGCAAGCTCTATTAGCAGCAGAGAAAGGAACCTCTTGAGAGGCAAGAAGGAAACTCGGTTCAGCGTGACTTACTTAGACGGACAGGTTCAAACTTCTGTAATGTGACCCCGAGCAATTTTATTGTAAGCATATTTAAGCACAGTACAATCTGGGGGCGAGGTGGGGGGGGGGCGGAAGTTTCCTGGTATAATACAATCCCTGCTGCACAAGGAGGCATAATTACATTGAAACTCAACTCAAAGTACATGTCACTTCTTCCAAGAAGATGGGTTCTAGAGATAGGCTGCATGTATTAGCTTAAGGGCATAGAGGAGGATCTGATATGGTCTTGGTCACACAGATAGCACTGGGCTATTAGCCACCTTCAGTTGTGGGAGCTTGAGAGAACCCCTGGCCATACAGATAATACAAAAATCACCCAGACTAACAGCCACCTCTGGTCCTGCTTGTGGGAGCTTGATACCACGCTATTAATCATCTCCAATTTCTAGCCTTCTGGGTGGAAAAACAGGTTATACATCTTTTTCTTTGAAAAGACAAAACTGCATGCTTACTTAACATTCCTGGTTTCCCTAGTGATCTCTGGGCCCAAGGACCTTTTCTCTCCCAACATTTCATAATGCAAAATGCTTTTAGTCCATCTGTAATAGACACCAAGTCTAAGAAGCAGCCACTGTTGAAAATCCGAGTCTCCCCAACTCACTTCCCTTGGCAGTCACTTTCCAACAAGGTACCCGAGGCCTCGCCTTTCTAGAATTTTCTGTTTGTTACTATCGTGTGTGTACATATGTGCACACACAAGCACGCATGTTAAGGAGTGTGTGTGGAGGTCTGAGGACAACTTTGAGGAGTTTGTTCTGCTAACTTTTCATTGTATTGGGGATCAATTTCAAGTCATCAGGTCTGGCAGCCCCATCCTGCCAAGCCCGTGAGGTTCCACCTTGGAAGGAACTCCCCTTTCAAATGAATCTGTGGGGCTATCCCCTGAATAGCTCCATGAAACTCCCCATCCACCTGGCTTTTATGTTTTGGGGTACTGAACCGGAAGAGGTTTAGTCACCACTGGGACAGTAACCCTCTGCCCTCCTTGTGAAGGGTTGGTGATACGTTCTCTTGTGCTCCCTTCTAACACTGGTATGGTTTGGCTTTTCTGTTTTAAACCATGCTCGCTAATTTTCTTGCATGATTTAAGGGAGGTATTACTTGTTTTTATTAAAGCATCACATTGCCACAACACCATTTATGGGAAGGACTGTTGTTCCTGGGCTCGGCCTTCCTTTCAGATAAGTGTGAGGCATGGACTCACAGAGAGGCAAATATCCCCACACTCGCTTTTCACTGGGAAATGCCTTACTCTTCTTGAGCCTTGATTCACCCTTGTAGATTTTATAATCATCCTGTCAAGTTAAACATACACACAGTGGGCTCTTCACAGAAATTACATACTATCAATAGATCATCAGAGGCAAATATAAATCCGTGTGATTTTGAGCTTCTAATACCACAGCAATGTGTATCTCTGTTGGGTAGGGCCATTCTTAGCACAATTCAGTAAAATCTTTCACTTGTTAATGAAAATTCTACACATTGATGCTGCTTCTTTCTGAGATGTTCTATCTGTTTTCATGCTACAATAGGATTAGTTACTTATTTCTCTGCTGTGATTAGATGCCTGACCGTAAACAACTTAAGGAAGGAAGAATGTATTTTGGCTCAAGTTTAAGGAAACTCAGTGCGCTGTGGTGGGGTGGTGGTATGGCGGGCGTGAGGCGGCTGGTCATCTTACATCCTCAGGCAGAAAGCGGAAAATAGATGGATGCTGGCGCTCAGCTTGCTCTCTCTCCTCCTTCATTCAGTGAAGGACCGCAGCCCATGGGATAGTGCCACCTATGTTCAGGGTGGTCTTCCTTCCTCCCTCAAACCTTTCTGGAGATAACCTTAGAGCAGCGGTTCTCAGCCTTCCTAACGCTGCCAGCCTTCAATACAGTTCCTCGTGTGGCGGTGATCCCCAACCACAAAATTATTTTCGCCGCTACTTCATAACTGTAATTTTGCCACTGTTATGAATTGTAATGTAAATATCTGTGCCTTCTGATGACCTTAGGAGACCCCCGTGGAAGGGTTCTTCGAGAGGTTGAGCATGGCTGCCTTCCAGCGTCCAGAAGTGTGTTTCCATGCTGGTTCTAAATCCAGTCAAGCTGACAGGATTAACTGTGAAAATTCCACCCCTTGTCAACTGGATGCCTGAACGTGTAAGTTTTGTTTTGTTTTTGAAATCATGTAGCCCCTGCTGGCCTTGAACTCAAAGAGATCCCCCTGCTTCTGTCTCCTGAGTGCTAAAATTAAAGGTATGTGCCACCATGCTCAGATTCTAAACACATGCTTTTTAAATTATAACATATCATTCACGAACCATAAATTTTCATGTTTGTCTAATAATACAAAAGGCATTTATTTCATCTCTGTTCAAAAACCCAAAGTCTCTTCTGAGACTCAAGGTGATCTGTTAACTAGGAACCTCTATGAAATTAAAATGCAAATTTTATATTCCCAATTGACAATGACACAGTAAACATTCTTGTTTTTCCAATACAATATTTTTATTTGGGAAGTTCACATCATGCACCCCATCACACTCATTTCCCAGTCCTCCCAGGTCAGCCCTCGTCACCCTTGTCACCTCCCCCCACCACCACCAAAAAAAGGAAGAAGAAAAGAAACAAATACAAATCCATTTGTGTTGCTTATATACTCACTGGAGCATGGCCAGTCTCCCAGTGGCCAGCCCCTTAAAGAAAACTGAGTCCTTCCCTGTAGGGGACTGGCCCCCACATTTATTTACCCCAGGACTCTTGAGGATTGAGGGATAAGAGACTTAGAAATAGAGGGGAGAGAAACAGAGAAATGTAGGATAGACTCGGGTGGGCCTCTGGATCCTTATCCACCCACCGGCCCAGAGCTTTATTCCAAAGGGCTGTTTATAACCATGCTGAGGAGTGGCGCAAAAGACCTCCCCCTTGCTAGTTACAGTCACCTGGTGCCCAGGCCTGTAGTCCAGTCAACCTCTTATGCAGTCCTGCTGGGTAGAGCCGCTAGGAGACCTCGTGGGCTCCAACACCTCCCAGATGCACCTCTACTACAGGCCCTCGACTGTGGAGAGCGTACTTCAGCATCCCCATGACAATCTGTAAGAGTTCTCTTGGATGGTTTCCGGTCTAGGCTGTTACTTTGGTGGGGGGGCAACAGGGGTTGTCACAGAAGCCTTCCCTGTCCCCCTTTCTCAGCTGTGAGTCTGCAGCCATCGATGCCACTGCAAAGGTAGCTTCCTTGCCCTTTACAGTCAGAGAGGGCACCAACCGTGGACTTCCACCTGGTTTCTGGTGACGGCACAGATCACAGACATCCACATGGTCTCCAGCATCAGCAAGTGCCACAGACCTCAGCATAGTCTCTGGTGGAAGAACAGACCACGGACATCAACACAGCCCTCTCTCTGCACAGCACAGGCCATAGACGCCATCACAGCCCTTGGTGACTGCACAGTCCAAGGACACCAATATGGTCCCCGATGGCAGCCCAACTGACAGACATCAACATGGCCTCAGGTGAGAGTGCAGGCCACCCACATCAGCATGGTCCCAGCTACAACAGGACAATGAACCCCAACATGGCCCTCAGTGGCAGTACAGGCCACTCACATCAACACGGCCTTCGGTGGCAACCCAGACCATGAACACTAACTAATACAGCCTCCTGTGGTAGCACATACTATGGAAGTCCACCTGGTCTCCAGCAGTAGCAAGGGCCTTGGACATCCACATGGCCTCCAGTGGCAGCTCAGACCACAGACATCCCCATGAACATCAAGTTTCAACAAAGGCCAGGTGCAAGGGACCATGGATACCAACATGGCCTCCAGGAGCAGCATGGACCATAGAGGTCTTTCAAGGAGGTCAAATCCAGAAAATGAACTGTTCTTCATCTCAGACATCCTGTCATTGCTCAGAACCAGGGCAGCATGTTCAGGGGCTGAGTCTGCACAAGCCCCAGGCTCCTGCACACTACCCTGCTGGCCCTACTCAGCCAGGACCCGTTCCCCATCCGCCACAACCTCCTTTCCATACCTGCCACCACTGTTGAGTCACTAGTTCCACCTCTCTTCACCTGCAGTCACCAATCCATTCCTCCATTTTCCCACCTCTCCATTGCATATTTGGTCGTCATAGTGGCATTGGAAAATGCAGTATACCCAATTTTTTTTTTTTTTTGCCCAAACAACTTTACATGCAAATTTTGATTGCAATGAGTCATTGGTCTGGTTCAAGGTTTCTGGTTTCTGAAGTACCATAAATACTGGACCATTGCAGAGACTTGTCTGGATATCTTGCCGTTGCCCAGAGTCAGGGTGATGTTGTGGCTAAGCAGGGCTTCTGGGGGACAGGTTCCATGTGAGCTCTTGGCCGCCACTCACTGGAAGGCTCGCTGGGCTCCATTTTTGTGCTCAATCTTCTCCACTGCCCTGCGCTCTCCCTCTCCCAGCAAGGCAAGCAGCACAGGCTGCAGCCACAGAAGCTCCATGCTCTGGGGTCAGCTGTCCGGCCTAGGACCAGCCCTACTCAGTAAGGACATGTTTCCGAGGGAGCTCTAGGCTGCTATATACCACCCTGTCCTCAGTGCCGGCTGCCTCATGGCTCACCAGGCATGACTGTTGATCTTGTAGTCTGTGGGGAGCAGACTCTACTGCCCTGTGCTCTCCCAGCAGGGCAAGCAGCAAGCAGCACCGGGGGGTGGGGGTGGGGGTGGGGGGGAGTTCAACAGTGGGAGCTGGCCTGCAGGTCTAGGGCAGGCCCTCATCAGTAGTGGCCTGTTTCTGCAGGAGCTCCAGGCCGCTGCACATCTCCCTGCCTTTGGTTCTGGCAGCCCCCACAGCTCATCAAACACAACTTTTGTGCTTACAGCCTCCTGGCTGAGACACCGCAGCCGAGGGTCCAGTTTCGTCACTCCGCACCGCTTGTGACTCTGTTTGGCCATCTTTCTTTCCAATGTATGGAGTCCACCCTTTAAAAGCATCTTCCCATAGCTACTGCGGGCTCTGTAGACTCCTCTTCCACCACCTCGTCACCCTTGGGAACCTCCAAGAGGCTAGTCCCTCAAGACTCCATGGAGCTCCTTGGCCGGTGCCAGCTGCCACTGCCATCTTTGTTTTCTCTGAGTCAACTTTCTTTTAACCAAACGGGGAACGGGGACACAACAAGGGAAGATCAGGCCAGCACGAAGACTAAAACCATGCAGGGTGAACAACCGCTGCACCTCCATTTCCAGTGTCTGACACTCTTGGAGGCATCGTCTAAGCTCCAACACCCCCTTCTCAACGCTGCCCTCCGCAACACGCAGACTTTCTCTTAGGCCAGCTCCCCACTGCACCAACAGCTCTCTTTGGAACAAGACTATGGGGTCACAGTCCTGGCATCTCAACATATTTGCATCTCCATTGCAACTTAGGCTTTGCCTTTGCAACTGCACTTTCTGTTTATGGGTGAGCGGCCTCCCAGGGTCTCCTTGTAGGGAATCTTCTCCCACTGTGCACTGCTTATCCTCGATGTCTCCATGACTCCCTCAACCCTTTGGCTTTCTTGCCTTCAAGATGAGTAGCACACAGACACACTGCCAGAGTTCTGCTGTCAGCTTGAGATGTGGCCTCGCTCTCCCACTACAGTTTGTAGCAGCCTATGTGAGTCTTTGAGGCTGAGCCCCAGAAAGCTCTTCCCTAGGAGACATCTGAGCAGGAACCCTGGGTGGCAGCATTCTCAACTGAGGCTGCCTCCTTTCGAATTGAATTTGCATCTCCACAGGCTGGAGCCTTCAGTGATTTTGTACCTTTCCTGTTGTCCCCGTGCAGATTGCAAGGCTCTGTCTTCAGTGTATGCATCACTTTTAACATCACAGCTGCTTTCTCTACACACTTTTCTGCAACCTCATAACTGCTCACACTTCCTGCCTTGGGTGAAAAAAAAAAGCACATTTTTTGTATCCTTCTGCTCCTCTGGCTGCTCTTTCCTACTGAAGATCTGAGTCAAAGCAGAGAGCAGTAGCTATGTTGCAGTCTGAATGCTAACCTGTCTTCAAATTTCCTGTAGCAAATGCCGTAGTCCATGATCTTTTAATTCAGCATGGTCAAATTTTCAGGAAGAAAGCAACCACATTTTCTCCCCAGAGTATAACTAAGCCTCTAGCCCTGTTCCTAATAGAGTCTCTGTTCACCTCTGATGTCTTGTAACAGTGTTTATATGTATGTGATCATGTATGTTCACGTAGACATGCACATGTATGTACAGATGTATATGTTCAGGTGCAAGTGGAGGCCAGACATCAGCTACAAGTGTCATTCCCAAAGAACTTTCTTCCTTGTTTTTTGAAATGGGGGGGGGAATGTCTCTCACTGGCCTAAAGTTAACCAGCAAGTGTAGAATGGCTAGTCATCAAGTCTCAGGGATACACTTGACACAGTTCCCAGTGCGGAGATTACACGTGTGCACCATCATACCTGGCTCCTTAAAAGTGAGTTCTGGGGATCACTCTGATTTTCACACTGCAAGACAAGCCTTTGCCAACCCAGCTACCAGCCCTACTGTCTTCTCTTTGCTCGATTTGGGGGGCTTTTTTTAAAAAAGAAAAATCCATCTAGGACATTACTGCCTTCATGTAATAACATGAAACCACAAGAAGCATGATACAAGGCCAGCTCCATGCTCTGGATCTAGATCTATCTCACAGTGATGCTGAAGTCTCGCCTCTTTGGTCCTACCTTGTGTCTCTCATCCTCACTGAAGTTGGAACTACAACATTTCAGGTTGCTTGCTCTCCCAATTGTCCCCAGGTTTAATTCTAGAAATTTCAATAATATCTAATCATCACTCCATCATGAGGCCTGATCTAACCACACAAATCTAGCCGTACCTGTCTCTTGAAGACTTGAACCCATACACATGGCACCAGGACATGATGTGGATTGGTTCAAGCACCATCGTACAAGGAAGAAGGGGGTTCCCCAGTTGTTGGAGGTAGGTGTCCCTGACACAGATGGCGCTTCATGAGTGGTGACCTTAGAAGCAACCTCAAGAAGAAGATGCTGTGCCTAATGAGGTCTTTGAAAAGCAACAGGAACAGGGAAACCAAGCTCCACAAAGATGGGACCGGTTGGCTCCTGTGTCCAAACAACCTGCGGAAAGATGAGGAGACAGAGCTGTCTCAGCAGCGGATGTCTCAGCAGGACACCAGCGTGCCTGTAGTAGCCCCCATCCCTGAGTGGAAGAGGCCAGGCCATGCTGTTCTGTGAGAGCCAGAGTTATGTGGAGGGGATCTGGAATCAAGATGCTGCATGGATGTAATTAAACATGGGGGTCCAGAGTTCAGATCCCTGCCTCAGTTTTCAGGCTTGGGACCTACTGTTGAAGGAGGCAGCCAGCCCAGGAGGGAGAAGCTGGTAGGCTGGGCAGGTTAATACTCTGCCCACCACACTTACTTCTTGGCCAGATAAATCTGAGGGTGTTGGTCTGTGGTTCCTCTGTAAGAACTATGCAATTTTTAAAAAATATTTTTATTTTATAATTTATTTAATTTCACATATCAGCCACGGATTCCCCTCTCTTCCGTCCTCCCAACCCCCAGCCTTCCTCCCCAATCCACTCCCCATTCCCACCTCCTCCAAGGCAAGGTCTCCCCTGGGGAGTCAGCCCAGCCTGGTAGATTCAGTTGAGGCAGGTCCAATCCCCTCCTCCCTGCACCAAGGCTGGGCAAAGTGTCCCAGCATAGGCTCTAGGTTCCAAAAAGCCGGTTCATGCACCAAGGACAGGTCCCGGTCCCACTGCCTGGGGGCCTCCTAAACAGGTCAAGCTAAACAACTGTCTCACTTATCCACAGGACCTGGTCCAGTTCCATGGGGGCTCCTCAGCCATTGGTTCACAGTTCATGTGTTTCCATTAGTTTTTTCCAACATGGTCCCAATAGAGAACTATGCAATTTAAAGACAACTGCTAAAGAGATTTAAAGAGATCCTGCTGAAGGCACAGTGTACGAGGTTGTAGTTTGTGACTGTGGCCTAGGGGAGACAGCTATCTATCTAGGAGCAAAGGTTTTATATGTTAATGAAATTGAGTTGGAATTGATCAAAATTAATAGACCTCAAAACAGTTCAAATAAAAACTTACCCACCAATGTCCACCACATATCTCTGTAGGCCTAGCATGGGCCATGCTGGCTCAGATCTTGGAGAAGCCTACACATCCCTGCTCCTCCATCACTGTGCATATCGTTTCATCTTGTCACAGACAGTCTGAGAATGAGCCAGTCTGCACTGCTTTCTGCCTGGTACCGTACTGGGCAGGATGAAAGAGCCATTGGCCAAATGCCAAGCACTGCTGGCCACACGCTCTCCCTCTTGGATTTTTTTAAGTTCAGACTTGCTGTTTCTCTCACTGGGTCACCTAGATGTCACCTGTGGACCCGCCTCCCACTAGGAACCACAGCGCCACCAGCAATGGGCTCAGTGCCCTTCTGTAGCCTTCAGAGAACAGCAGTAACCTCATTCCCCTCCCTGCCACTTTCAGACCTGTGTTCCCAACAGGCTTGTGTGAACCATGGTTAACAGCTTCCTCCCCATGCTCCCCCCCCCACTCTTTTGTAGAACTCATGGCTGGTGAGTCTCTAGAACACTGTACCATGACCTTTTCTCAGCCTCCCCACGTCTCCCAAGTATGCTCCAGGTAACAACACCCAGCAGTCTGGGTTCAATTAGTTTGTCCATCACCGCACTAGCCCCTTCACTGACATTTGGGTTAGACAAGTCCCTGGGGTGAAGTATCCTCGTGAAGCCTACACACTGGGTGATGTCCCTGACTGCCATGTCAACCCCACGCCATTTCCAGGTAAAAACTGCTGCCCAGTGCTTTGAGTTCCCAGACCCACAGCTCTGTCTAGGCCCTCGCACCTAAGGGTCCATTTTCCTTCTAGATATTCTCTCCTAGACACTGAAATGGGATTTCAGACAGTCAGAAGAAAATTGTCAAGTTTATAAGAAAGCTAATCTGGAAGAGCCGAGAAATGAAATGAGACAACAGAGGGAAGAAGAATGAAGGAGAATATGAAAATGTTCTTCAAAATGACCCACACCTCAAAAGGCGCAGCATGTAGACCCTGCAGTAAAGTCTAGATCAGATGCGGTAAGTGCGGACCACGCTATGGAGAAGCAAGGAGAGTGAGATGGTTAACCTTCATTTTCGACTTGACTGGATTTAGAATCACCATGGAAACACACATCTGGGTGTGTCTATTGAGTATTTCCAGGACAGTGTGAGGAGGGGAGACCCACTCTGAATGTGGGCGGCACCACAGAACTGGCTAAGGTCCTGGACTGAATAAAAAGGAGAGCATGAGCTGAGCACCAGAGCGCCTCTCTGCTTCCTGACTGGACCCTGCTATCCCTTGTTAAACCCTGAGCCAAAGCAGCCCCTGCCCTCCTGAAGTGGTGTTTGCCAGGCATTTGTCACAGCAGCAAGAAGAGTCGCTAATGCAAGGGGGCAGTGATTGTATGGTGTCCAAGTGGGGAGGCCTAGGCAAGGTCACTGCTTACCGCTCACATGAGCACCAGAAGCTCAGAAGTGTCGTGTTCATCTGTGATTACACAGGGGCCCACGGTACCACTGGGGCTGAGAGCCACCAATTTCAGGCACAGACGGCTCACCTAATTGCAGAATAGTTGAAACTGTGGGAAATCACTCAAAGTTAATGTCCTAAGAACATCATCAGAAAAGCAAATAATCACAACTAAAATACTGGCAATCTGCAATACAAGAAATGCATTTTCTCAATATTCAAAGAGCTCTTTAAGATCAATAATAAAAGCATTAAGGATTCAACTAGAAACAGAGAAAAGATGTGAAAAGTTGCTTTGCGTACTATCCCAGAAGAATTTTCCACACACAGGACTACAGGTCTGATGGTGCAGGCTTTGTAGGTTCTTGGCAGGCAGCTAATGGGACTGTCCTAAGATGAAGCAACAACTGGTACTCCAGGACTCTGGAGCAGACACCACACAGACCACAACTTTGCTTTTATGAGCTGTGTAAGCTTCGTGCTGGTTGCTTGTGTGGGGAGGCAATTCTCCTAAAGAGAGTCACTATGAGAAACAAAGGGACTTACATTTGAAAAGCCCAAATAGGCTGCTGGAACACAGTACATAGGACAGACAGAAGGAACTGAGTTTAACTACTACCGTTGTTTCTCTATATATTTGCAGAGGAGACGGGATTTGACAGGGTCTCATATATGTTGTTTTTTAACTAAATCTCAATTGTTCAGTTTTACCATTAAAAACTTGAGATCCAGATGTCGGGGTGATAACCTGAGAGCTCAGATAAGCACAGAGAGCACAAGACTGACCTTCCTCCTCCACTGACACCCCAGAAAGAGGACCTTTCTCTTACACCATCTCTATCTAACAAGACTCCTGCAACACAAAGCCCCTCCCTTCTAGTTCCTGTGTGTCTCTCTCTCTATCCTCCTGACTCCCTCTTACTCTCTGTTGTTCATTTCCTGTTGTTGGTTCGTTGCTCTGCCTCTTAACCTATGGCTGACTTTATTTAATCCTGTTTACAATATCCAGGAAGAAATCTCTTGGATTAAAGGTGTGTGCCAGTGCTGAGCCACACCACAACTAGAAACATGTTTTTCTAGCAAATAGCACAATCTTGGGGTTCATAGTGTGATCAAATACCCTGCAAGACATTTAGACAAAACTGGCCTTGAATTCCTGGTTGCCCTGCCTCCACCTCCTAAGTGCTGTGAATAGAGGTATATGCCACCTTACTGGATGTGGTGTTTGAATAAGAATAGACCCCATAGGCTCATATGCTTGAGTACTTGGTCCAGTTGATGGACCAAATATTTGGGGGAAGGATGAGGATGTTTGGCTTTGTTGGGAGAAGGATGAGGATGTGTGTCATTGGGGATGGTTTTGAGTTTTCAAAAGACTCATGTCATTCCCAGTGTGCTCTCTGTTTCCTACTTGCAAATCAGGATGTGAGCTCTCAGTGGTTCCTGTTACCATGCCTTTGCTCTGTCATCATGGACTCTTATCCTCTGAGTCCATAAACCAAATTAAATGCATTCTTTCATAAGTTGCTTTGGTCATGGTGTCTCATCACAGAAGTAGAAAGTAATTAAAATACCCATTCCTCAATCTATTTTTATATAAAATGACTGGATGATTAGATGCATATTATCAAAACCAGTAACTGATTAATCTGAGGAAGACATTGAAAGTGAATGTCTTAGTTAGGGTTTCTATTGTTGTGAAAGGTGCCATGGGCACATCAACTCTTATAAAGGAAAACATTTAATTGGGGTGGCTTACAGTTTCAGAAGTTCAGTCCATTATCATCATGACGGGACATGACAGCATGCAGGCAGACATGGTGCTGGAGAAGGAGCTGAGTTCTACAGGAAGTAAATTGACACTGGGCACAGCTTGAGTACAGTAGACCTCAAAGTCCACCCCCTCAGTGACACACTTTCTCCAATGAGGTCATACCTCCTAATAGTGCCATATCCCTTTGGGGGCCATTTTCTTTCAAACCACCACAGTAGGGTTGTAACCTTCTGCCTTTATATATTATATCTGTGGTCGACTTTTTCTATTTAAAATATAACATCCTGAAGAAACAGGATACATGTAGGAAAGTCATAAACTAATAGCACAATACATAAAAGGAAGTGTACACAACTTTATAGGTGATATTTAAATTTGTGTGGAAAGATTCAACAAATAGTATTTGAGTTGACATAACCTTATTAATAACCAAGAAAACTGGTTTGGGTTTTTAATTTGAAATAAAATTAGAAAGTCTTTTGTTTATTTCCATTGTTTTCCTTTTAGATACAACTTAGCTAGAAGTATTAGATACCCATCCTACAACAACCATAAAACTGAGCAAAAATATATGAAACTGTCCTAGTCCCTGGATGATAAATAGAAAATACGAGCTGCTGATGCTTGGAAGAAGAATGAATCGTATTTGTGAACAGTCACCCTGCCTGGCTCTCTAAGAAGACAGTTTTCCAACGACAGCATAAAGAGGAAGGTACCAGAAAGCCCAGTCCTCCTGTTGGGAAGACAAGTGAGACATGGAGGAGGCAAAAGTGGCTGGTTTTTGAGGGGAAGGGGGCCAGGATGGAGCCATAATAAAGAACCTCAAACTTTCCCACCTATTTGGTATGGTGTAACAAGGAGGCGCTGCTCACTCCAGCCACTGTGCTATGCTATCATGATAGACCCGTCTAAACCATAAACCAAAGTAAACTCTTCCTCTCAAATCTTGCTCTCAGGTGTCTGTCATGTGATAAGGAAGTCAGCAAACACAGACAACAGATACAGAGAAGTGGAGTCTCACCATGATAAACTCCACAGTGCACTCCTTAGGCTTTAGACCTGGTGCAGGAGAGAACTAAATGCACAGTGTTGTCCTCTGACTTCCATACACAACCTGCAGCACACACATGCAGGACCATTATG